AAACTTCAATTAAATTATAATTAAAAAATTGAATTAAAGAAATTACACAAAAACGAGAACTTTTAAATAGTTAATTTAATAATAATATCGATTATTTTTTTCAAATTTTTATAATATCATTAAATTTATATTTCATTCAAAAATAAAAACATTTTCTTTTTCTCAAAACCACATAAAATCGTATTATAACATCGATAGACCCAAAATATAAAATGAAACATTAAAATCAAGATGTATTTCACTGCATTGTACGAATACCCTTCTAGTATAAGATAATGAATGTATTGGATGGTTTAGGTTTAAATTATTTTTAATGATATTGTTTATTATATATGAAGAAAATTCATACAATTTCTTATTTTTTGGTTGTAAAATAATGTTTTAATATTGAAGCTAAAATTTGTAGAAAAATGGTTAGTGTAAGCATAGGTGCAATATAAAACCTTGTGATTGGTTACTTTATAGTGCTTGTTTTGCAACCTCATTTATTAACGGGTCGATTCTAAAGTATGTTGTATATAAAAAGTTATGATTAGGATAGTGTTTGATTGGTTTGAGCTTGGCTTCAAAGGTTAAAAGTATTAGGAGGTTTCAGGTTCAAATCCAAGGAGGAATAAAAATCCTCTTGTGGCCACAAAGGTTCAAATGCAGTGACTTCGGGCTATCTGCAAAGTAGGTGGTCGTCATGAGATTAGTCGGCTCGCATAGCGGGTTGGATATTCAAGTTAATTAAAAAAAAGTTATGATTAACTATCGTATAAATGTAACAGTGTTGGGATCGTGCGTTACAGGTGACCATAACTTTTGGAGACAAAAGTGTATTTTCTCCGTTACAATTTATGAAATACAATATAAAACATTGAATCAGTTCTCATAAATGAAACATTCTCCCATAAGAAATAAGATAAATATTAAGTGGGTCAATCTTCTATATAACCTTATTAAATTAATAAGGTTAAATACTACATTTGAGCTTAGCATAAAAAGAAGTCATAAATGCATGTGTGTTCCGTTGTTCACCCTAATTTTGTACCCTGTCCCAACTTCCTCTTATATTTTTCACACTTCATCCGATGTGAGACACAGACCATAAATTGAGAAAAAAGTTAGCTCTTTATTTTGTATTCAAATCCCTTTTGCCACTTTGATTCTCTCATTCAATGTATGATACAAACCATTAAGTGATAATGCATTATCGTTAAGAAACATTGCATCGAAATGGGTACCGTCAACCGTGATATTTGTACATACATACATACATACATACATACATACATACACACATACACACACACACACACATATATATATATATATGTATATATATGTATGTTGGGGGGGTAGCGTTCCAGTGAGAATAAGAGTTAAGGTGAGAAGTGTAAGAAGGGATCTATACCCTTAGATGCACATTAGAATGATGCACCTGATCAATCCCCGTATCAAGCGTGATTCATGGACGGGTTTAAGATTAAAGGTGATCAAGGGTCTAGATCTCTTTTTACACTTCTCATATTAACTCTCCTTCTCATACGACTCTTTGCCTATATATAATCGATATTATATTGATAGGGAAAGATCATTTGAGAAGTAGTAAGTATTTGAGAAGTAAATAAGTGATCATAGTTCTTCATACAGTCAAGATTTGTCAGGATTGGTCAAGAATTGCCACTTTCATTTGGTCAAAGATTGCGGCTTTGACTAGTTAAGCAAAAAATAGAGGGATAGTTTCGTAACTTTTACAAATAGATAGCAAACAAGTGCATATGTGAACCCATAAGTGCATATGTGAACCAATTTATTAGTTCATATGTGAATCACACAAGTTCATATATGAATCAGATTAATTAGTTCATATATTAATCACACTGGTTCATATGTGAATCAAAGCACTCCTAGGAATTCAAGAGAGAACAACCCTGTGAAGGGCACCATATTTGCTTCGCATGAACATAGCCCAAAGAAAAGAGAGTCCCCTTTATAGTATAGAATTCCACGCCTATGTGCAAGGCTTGCATCACTTGATGTAACGAACGAATTCTAACACCCTCCTTCCTCCTTAGGACAGCAAATGGTCTCCCATGACACCCAATGATGTCTCTCTTCTCCATTAGAGCTCCAAAAGAAATTAGAAAAAATACCCTGCCCAAATATGCGACTCTATAGGGATAAAAAAAAATGAAATTCATAATGGTACTCTAAATAGTATCTTACTTTTGACCTCTTCCCTCTTACTGGCAGCAGGATAGAGTGGGCTTTATGGTTGATGTCAGCTACTCTCTTCCTGCTTTACCTTCTAGAGAGCCCAGTACATAGTCTAATGGCATGGGCACTCGAAGGAAAGGTATAAAGATTTTCCATTGTCCTAGGGATTCGTATTTCACATTGTCCTAGTGATCATGGTGTGAGTGGGATGTGGTGGTGGAGTAGGTAGAGTAGGTGGTGGGGGTGCAAGTGGTGATGAGGACGAGGGAGATGGTGTAGCTGAAGGAGTAGATGGAGTATTGGTATTGGGATCAACAGAGACCGTAGGAGATAGAGATAGAATATGCGTGGGGGTTGTGGGAGTAGTTTGTGAGGGTAGAGGGATAAACATCGGACACCACTCTTCAATTAAGGTGTTTATAGAGTATGTTGGTATGAGAAGGTTAGAATAAGGAAACATGTTCTCAACAAAGTGAACATGCCTTGAAGTATAGATCTTGTGTGTTTTGAGGTGTAGATAGTAATCGACACTTTTATTTGAAGAATAATCCATGAAGGTACATGCAGTGGACTTTGACTCAAGTTTATGTTCAGTATAAGGATTTAACCACGGATAACATAGGCAACCGAAACTCCATAGTTTTTGACAGTTCGACAATTTCCACAAAGAGTTTGGGATATGGAGAGGCATGATTTAAAGTTGGTGTAGGAAGACGATTGATGATATAAACCTGCATTAAGAATGCATTAGTCCAATATTCAAACGACCCTGTTTATTAGCTTTACGTGCAATTCTTCAAAGGAGATTGGTGTATCCCTACCATTAACAACTTCAATAACGAAGTTGTAGGGAGTGTCAAGGCCAAGGACACAGATCAATGAGATCGTCATTTCTCACTACTTTATCAGTTAACAACCAACTTATCAGATTAATTTACCATTTAATTATCTGATTTTGATTAACTTTAAATAAAATAAAAATGTAATTAATTTATTAGTTTATACTTTACCATTTAATTATCCAATTTTTATAACTTTTTTAATTACAAGGTCAAATATAAATACACATTTATATAAATCTTTCTCTCTCTTTTAGAATTTTGGAATTGCTTATTTAAAAAAATTTATGTTTTTTTTTTGTAAAAGTATTTATTAACTTATCTGGTGGTAAATTTGAGTTTTATAAAAAAATGTTTGGATTAACTTGTAACAGTATCACACCGGATAAGCATGATAAAATAGATGTGATACCTTTTTCTTTTTCCATCCAAATATTAAAAACTCATTGTTATCGAGATCATCATAATAAGTTAATAAATTACAAAAAAGTAACTTATCAAAAACTTTTTATTACCCATATCAAACTGGCATAAATATTTCCTTTTTTTACAATCAAATCACTAAACCGTATCACAACGAAATAAATTAATAAAAAATTTAAATTAGCAATCAAAACACCACCTTAAGATCGGATCTTGGAACAGACTCAAATCGCTACCATTTTCTCGACGCTAAAGGTTTCGTTCCGTTCTTCCTTTCGTTTTCTGCATCAGTTTAAGGTGATTTTCTTATTTATAACTTTGTTTTAGTTTTTGTTGATGGCAATTTTGTTTCTGATTAGATATGATGGAGCATGAATATGTGTAGCTGCAGAGTTAATTGGTTATCTTTGCGATCTAATTGAGATGATCAATTAATTAGTTATCTTTGTGAAGGTAATCTAATTGAGATGTTTTGGATCTGATCTACTTTTGCAATTTATGTTTATTCAGTTTTTGTGCTTATTTGAATTCATTATGTTTATTGTATGTTATGATCGATTTGAATTTGATCAGATGTGGAATTTTCAACTGAAAGCCTCTCACCAAATTTGTGGTTGGATTTCCTGAATTGCTGAGAATTTTCCACTTAAAATTTGTAGTAAATAGTTTAATTGCTGGAAGGAAGGAGAATTTTGGTAGATAGGGGTTTTATCAGAACTGAATGGAATGACTCTTGGATCTATGATTCGTGTTCGAAGTTGCCATATGTTTGAACAGGTAAATGGTGTGAACACATCCAAGCTTGAATAGATCCACACATGGCAATAGCCAAAAAGGCCCAAAACAATTGAATTTGAAGAAGGAAGTTGGATGATTTCTCTTGGTAGTCCTGTTAATTTGGCCATACAACTGTTTATCAACAAGTTTGTGGATATATGGTATATAACATATGAATCATAAACAAAAACTTATTAGTGTGATTTGCAAGAGCGATTAGCTTCAGTAACCGTTAAATGTCATTGTTATTTGATAATTTGCCAAAACTGCTTTTCATACTGTTCTCTTTTTTCTGGTTCAAAAACTTAAGCCAAAAAATTTATGAAATGAAAGATACATACTTAATGCTGCATTTAAGGATATAAATTGTGATTTATTGGACCTAAATTCAATTAATAATTGATCAACGAGGGAAATGGTTTTTGGCCTTTCCCTCGCTGATTTTCGTCGCTGATACCTTGTTTTCTAGTAGTGTTATAGTCTTCATGTGAAATTGGGTTATAATTAGATGTCCAGCTTATTACAGTCTGTAGGTTGTGACTTTGAGTTTCTTCACAGACATGGGTGGGTGAGTTTGTTTGCTTTCCAAAAGAAAGATGTACAGCCTTTTTGTATAATAAGATTATGAGTTCTTCAAGTACTAATACAAATATATGAACTGCAGTTTGTTTGTTTTTTGTCAGTATTTCATAGTTATTAGCTGTGAATGCAACAATGCAAGTGAACTTGTGAATGCTCTTAGATTATTAGATTTCATATAAATGTCATATGTTTGGCAACCATAAGCTAGTTTATATTAAACCCTCTTTGGTTAGCCATAAGCTAGCTTATAGGCTAGCTTTTTAGTAGCAGTTTTAATAAGTTCCAGGTTTTCTTTTTCCATTTTTCCCAATTATGCTTCTTGTATTTTTCCTGTTAATTTTCTGAACATGTTCTTATTTTATATTGTCATCCAACTTATTAGCTAGTTTTTACTTAACGTGATTAGTTTATCTGCTAGTTGACCTAACATAGGCATAGCCAAAGCCTCTCCTGATTCTGTAAAACTTGTGGGAAAAATTGGCTGTAGCTAAGATCAAATTGCTGATTCTGTGGAGGAGCCTGTTGTCTATCTCCCTTCCCTTTGCTTAACAAACATTCATTTGATATGAACGGTACAGGAATGGCGGTGAATGGAGGAGCCCCGCCAAGAGGAAGTGCAGCGGCCACTGCCGCCAACTTGCGGAGGAGGAGGACAGGCGGCACTGGAGGAGCGACAGGCGGAACAGCTGGAAACATGCTCCAGTTTTACACCGATGATGCCCCTGGATTAAAGATCTCTCCAAATGTTGTTCTCGTGATGAGCATCGGCTTCATTGCTTTTGTTGCCGTTCTCCACGTTATGGGTAAGTTGTACTTTGTCCGAAGAGAGGCTTAAATGAAAGGATCCTTCTTACTCCATCGCTAGGTTATATCTTTTAATTTACTTTCTGCTTTTTGATCCGTCGAATCGCAGAGTCTTTATCTTTTCGTTGTCTCTTAGAACGTTTCGACATTAACTAAATGAATTAGAGAATTGCTTTAGACTACGTGTTTTTTCGTAGACATCAAAATGGTATTGATGGTGTATTTCCGGGTGAAGACCCGATTCCTCTGGTCATCAAGAAATGAGGATTTAACCTTTCGGGTAGCTCAAACAGTCAGATCAGGACCGCTGGAGGGTTGTCCGACTGTTAACTTCAAAACCTCCTGGGATGGGATAAGTCGAGGTGCTTGCACAACCATGGTTACTGGTTTATTGAAAATTGCTATTTTCATCCTTGTGTTTTTTGAAATTATGGTTTTCCTCTCTGTGGGTTTACAATTTTGTTGTTGTTTTCATTTTGTCCATGTGGTTTATGAATTCATTGCTGATTTTATCTCTTTATACTTAATGTTAAACTACTGACGGAGTTGCCTTTTGAGACAAAAATGACAATGAATTGTAAACGACATGGACAAAAACCGTAATTTAAAAACTATAAGGATGAAAACCGTAATTTTTAACAAACCATAAGGACTAAAGATGTAGTTTACTGTTAAGAAAAAGACAACAGGGACTCAGGGAGTTTGTATCTGTTACTGTTTATTTTCCAGCCAAATTTGTTGTAAAGTTTAAAACATAATTGCAGAAATCAAAGAATTCAGTATATTTTATCTGAGGGTCTAGGGAGGGTGCGAAGTTAAAAAAGGACGGAAAGCAAGAGCATAAGAAATAAGACAAATATAAGAGTGAGAAAAATTAACCATTAGGGTGGTGTTTGATTGGTTTGAGCTTGACTTCAAAGGTCAAAAGTGTCAGGAGGTCTCAGGTTTAAATCCAATGAGGAATAAAAAATCCCCTTGTGGCCATGGAGGTTCAAATGCGGTGACTCCGGGCTATGTGCAAAGCAGGTAGTCGTCCTGGGATTAGTCGGCTCGCATAGCGGGTTGGATATCCAGGTTAATAAAAAAAAGAGTGAGAAAAATTAAAATACTTCCGATTTGGTTGGTTTCTTTTCTAGTACCAAATAATAAGTTTTAGGGGTTGTTTACCTAAATTCTTACCCGGTAAGGTGCTTACTGATATAAGTCAACACTATAATTTATTTTGATGCGTAAGATTTTAGTACATCAAAACATATTGAATGCAACAATTTACCTGGTAAGCGTTTACGTGAGTAAGAGTCGTCATCTTCACTTATCCAGTAAGACTCTTCATCATTCTCATCGCTTTTACCCGATAACATTTTTGGCATTTGTCATATTCATTCGATGAAAAGTTTATCTGGTAAACATTTACCAAGTATGTGTTTAGTAAACGATCCCTTAGTTTGCAAAATAAAATGGATGTGTGTTGGATGAATAGTTTAAAGTATGAATATGTTTGAACATGATGTTTCATAAACTACAATAAATAAATATAATTTTGGACTAATAATATCATTTTCTAACCAATAAAAATTTATTATTTTAAAAACACATTATAGATTTAACTATTGAAATTAATTGTTTTTAAAATATTTTTAACTATAATATCATATATATATATATATATATATTAGAATGGTACTCGTGTAATGCATCGAGACATATTTTGATCTTAATGTTTCGTTTTATTCTTTATCTATGTTGATATAGTATGGTTTTATGTAGTTTCGCAAAAACGCTAATCTTTTTATTTTTGAATAAAATATAATTTTAAAATATCATAAAAATTTAAAAAAAATATATAGATATTAGTATCAAGTTAACTATTTAAAAGTTCTTGTTTTGTGTAATTTATTTAATTCAATTTTTTTATTATAATTTAATTTAACGTAACGAAGTAAATTAATTTAGACTTAATAGTGATTTTTTATAAAAATAATAATTAAGTATTCTGTTAGAACTCAATAATTATCCTAATTATATTTTAGATTTTTTTTTCTAAAATGATGTTTATCTTGTATTTGATTATTTTTATCTTCAGTTAGTTACACGTATTGAAATATGAAGTTTTAATAAGTTGTAATTACGCATAATTTATTTGTAATCTTGAATTTTAAGTAATATACATCAATAAACAGTATGTTGTGCATAAAAAATAGTTTTTAAAAATTTTTATCAAAAGTTTTATAATATAGTATATATATAGAGAGGTTGGTTATTATACAACCATTGACATTTGTGCAACCAATACAACTCAATCTCAGCCGTCCATTTCATTTTATTAATATGTGATTTCATAGAAGTTTTGATTGTTTCTTAATATAAAATATTGATCATAATTAATGAACCATATTCATCTTCCATAAAATATTTAAATCATAATAAATGAACTATCATCATTTCCATAAATATTTCAATATATTGGGTTGCATTGGTTGTACAAATATGACGGGTTGTATTTGAAACAAACTATATATATATATATATATATATATATATATATATATATGGGAACGTTCAAATAAAAACCACCTAATTTGTACAAACCGTACAAACTTCATTCAACTAATCATAATTTTTCATTTTGTTCATTTTTTTGTAATTATGAGAGATTGATTAATTATTTTTATTGTGGATAATGTTAATCATGGATATTACCATCTTCATTATTTTAATTTTAGAGAAATACATGAAACAGTTTCATTAATTTTAGAGAAATACATGAAACAGTTYCATTAAGTAGTATATGAAACAATTTCATAACCATATATGAAACAACTTCATCAAAAAAAGTATT